TCAGTGCCCATTCACTGTTGCCTTTGTACATGATTAAAGCTGATTTTAACGACGTGTCTCAAATCAGCAGAACATTCAGAATTAAGCTTTTATGTTTAAGCTCTTTGAACTATTAGTTGATTTAAAAGGAAAAAAAAAAAAAAAAAAAAGCATAACCTACTCCAAAAAAGTAAAACTAAATGTAACATGCGTTTTTTTATTAGCCTGAAGTGAAACCGTCTGACCTAACAGCATTAGGATTCATTCGCTCGACGGTAGGCAGGTACTTTTTTTATTTAACCAATCGCTGCTGTTTGGTCATGACGTATTTAATGCACCAAATCCCGTAGGAAGAAGGACAATAACGTCTTTCCTCTTGATAAAATTCACCAAACATTCTCTTTGTTACGGCTTTAAATCCTCGATCTCGGGAATCGTTGCCAACACAGAATGTCTGTCTTCGTCTACATCTATCTTGACAAGGGCTGTCGCGGTTTGGGAATTTCGGTGCGGTACAGCGGCTCAACAGCGCGGTATGCAGTGATACCCACCCCACATCCCCTGGAGTTACAATATTTCCAGCGGCACTGAAAACTCTCTGATGCACTTGTTGTGCAGATGCACATGTACCTTGGTTGTCGTGTGGATGTAGCGTGGAAGAAGTAACATTTGGCTTTGGAACAAGTGCATCTTTCCAGCCCTCACTGTTTCAGCTCGGGTCAAGTCCTGCACCAGGTCGGGTCAAAGGTCAACTCCAGGTCGAGTACCCGCGGACTTAAGAGAGAGAGCCCCTAGCACGAGCACGCCGTCCAGGGTGTCCGCAAAGCGCGATCGGGCGACGGACGCGCTTAACTCTGTGTGGTGTGGAGCTGTTGCGGTCCTTTCGCCTGCGGTCACCAGATGGTCTACGCAGGCGGACCTTAGTCCTGAGTTAGTCCTGGGTTAGTCCTGGGTTAGTCCTGGGTTAGTCCTCAGTTAGTCCTCAGTTAGTCCTCAGTTAGTCCTCAATTAGTCCTCAATTAGTCCTCAATTAGTCCTCAATTAGTCCTGGGTTGGTCCTGAGTTAGTTCTGAGTTAGTCCTGGGTTGGTCCTGAGTTAGTCCTGAGTTAGTCCTGGGTTAGTCCTGGGTTAGTCCTGGGTTTGTCCTAGGTTAGTCCTGGTTTATCAAGAGTATGAGCAGTAACGGGTGGAATGCTTACGGGTCCGGGGGGCAACGGGTCTCTAAAAATGAACCCGTGCAGGACTCTGGGTCGGGTCACGTTGGTCCATGCGGAGATCACGTTGGGCCTCTTAGTACTGCGGTGATTCAGTTTTGCGGTTATTGCGATAGCCCTAATCTCAACCACTTTGGTTACTGTTGTGTTGTTCCACAAAAGGGACCCAGACAGGCACTTGAGTTTGACGTCATGGCTTCACAGCTCTTCGCTGATTGGCCGGTCCGCCGTCTACAACTCCCGGGGTTCTTGAAAACCGTCTAGTGTATTCTGATTCCTGACCTAGTCACTGGAGAGAAATGAAATTGAGTGGAGGTTGCACCAGCCTGGCTAGTTTTTATGGCAATAAAGTAAAAATCCCATGAAGATGTTTTTGTTTTTCTCATAATGTTTGAGAGTATATTGCATCCCAAAACACTTGACCTGTCAGAAAAGTTCCACATTGGACTTTACCTCACCATTTCATACTCATATTAACATACTAAGGAACAGTGATCGTTCAGACTGGTGTCCACTGTAGATTTTTCTCAAACAGAAAACACTCTTTTCCACCTTGTGATGTCATCCAGTAATGCTGGATGTGCATTACTCCAAAACACAGTTTAAAGTTTAAAAACACAGTGTTCCACTGTGTTTTAAAATTCAAACAACTTCACTAGAATCATTTGAATAACTGCTGTTGACTTGAAAATCTATCAGAATGTAACTGTAAGTCACGTTTTCAGTGCCTGATCTTTGCTCTGTGTGAGTCTGGTGCAGAGTCCTGGTTCTTCTGTCAGGTTCCTCTGAGCTCTGTGGCCCTCAGACCTCACACACACATGACTGAACACACTCCTCTGCACACACACACTCTGCACACACACACTCTGCACACACACACTCTGAACACACACTCCTCTGCACACACACACTCTGCACACACACACTCTGCACACACACACTCTGCACACACACACTCTGAACACACACACTCTGAACACACACACTCTGCACACACACACTCTGAACACACACACACTCTGAACACACACACTCTGAACACACTGCTCTGCTCACCCACCACCGGCCCACGCCCCGGGCCAAACACAGGCAGCCCGGGGAGAGGGGGAGAGAGGGAGGAGGAGGAGAGAGAGAGAGAGGAGGAGAGGATAAGAGGAGGAGAGTGAGAAAGAGAGGAGGAGAGGAGAAAGGGGGAGAAACAAGGAGAGAGAAGAGAGGATGAAAGGAAGAGGCAGAGAAAGAAAGAGAGGAGAGAGCGCGAAAGAGAGGACAGAGAGAGAAAGAGAGGGGTGAGAGAGGAGAGAGAGGAGAGAGCGAAAGAGGGGGTGAGAGGAGAGAGAGAAAGAGAGGGTGGGAGAGGAGAGAGAGAGAGAAAGAGAGGGTGGGAGAAAGGGAAAGAGGGGGTGAGAGGAAAGAGAGAGAAAGAGAGGGGGAGAAAGAGAGGGGAAAAGAGAGAAGAGAGAGAAAGAGAGGGAGAAAGAAAGAGAGAGGAGTGAGACATAAAGAGAAGGGGTGATAGAGTAGAGAGAGAGAAAGAGAGGGAGTGAGAGAGGAGAGAGAGAGAAAAAGAGGGAGTGAGAGAGGAGAGAGAGAGAGAAAGAGAGGGGAAAAAGAGAGGAGAGAGAGAAAGAGGGTGAGAGAGAGAGAGAGAAAGAGAGGGGGAGAGAGAGAGAGTGAAGAGAGGGAGAGAGAGAGTGAAAGAGTGAAGTGAGAGCGAAAAAGAGAGGACAGAGAGAGAAAAAGAGGGAGAGAGAGAAAGAGGGAGAAAGAGAGGGGGAGAGAGAGAAAGAGTGGTGGTGAGAGAGTGAGGAAGAGGAGGAGAGAGAAAACAAGAAAAGGACTGCAGAGAGAGAGAGTAGAGAGCGGGAGAAAGGAAGAGGAAGGGGAGAGAAGGACAGAGGAAGAGAGTGGGAGAAGGAGAGAAGGGATGAGATGAGGTGGGGAAGAGAAGGAGAAGAGAGAGAGAAAGGGGGACACAGAGAGAGCGAGAGTGGGAGAAAGAAAGAGGGAGAGAAGAGGGGAGGCGAGAGGAAAGGGATAAAGAGACAGAGAGAGAGAGAGGAGAGAGAGAGGAGGGTACATCTTGTATTCTGTCAGTCCAAAGAGTTCAGAAGGGTCGAGGCGAGATGAAGAGGCGTGGGCGGGAGACGTCGGTGAGAATGACAGTTTATTGAGAGGAGACGGACTGCAGAGACCGGATCAGAACAACTTCAGACTGACAACAAAGTCCTGACCCAGCAACAAAGTCCTGCTGCCCAGCGCCTCTTATGTGAAGAACATCGGATCAAGCAAATAATCGTTACAAGAGGAAATTACAACTGCACTCTTACTTGTTTTTAAAGCTGCATCTAATGATTAGTTTAGCCGTGATCAGTCAAATGATGGTTACTCCTGTGCGCTGAGAGCTTTAAATACATTTTCAAAAGGTCCTATATTACACAAAGTGGACTCTTTTGAGCTTTAAGTCATGTTAGAATGTTGTTACCTCATCAAAAACAGACCTGGAGTTGTGTTTTGTTTGATTCATGCATATTAACCCATCAAGACTTAAGGGTAATTTTAGTACATTTGTCCTCGTCTGGATTTTTTTTTCTTAATTTTGCCCTTAAAATCCTCCCTTTTACCGTCTAATAAAGTGTTATACATCCTTTTTTTTTTTTTTTCAGTACAACCTGTTATCACAATCTGCTGCTGTAGTTATGTCATATGGTTGTAATAAAAGCTATAGGCCCATAAATAAAAAAAAAAATAATTAATCAATTAATTAAAATAATAATAATAATAATAATAATAATAAACAAACAAATAAATAAATAAATAAAATAAAAATGTATAAAATAAAATTCAATTTAAACTCTCACAGCAAACATGTATAAACAACTTTTTGGATATAAAAAAAAGCCTAATTTAGAGCCTTAGCTACAAAAGTACAAAATCACATGTCTGTTAGTAAACTAAAAAGATCCTTATTGCCTCAAAAAAAAAAAAAAAAAAAAAAACACACACAAAAAAAAACGTACAATGGCCCCATGACTTTCCTGGTGCCAGTCAAGTCATGGAACCAGCTCGTGTCAGGTCCAGGTCACAGAGCCACATCACTTCCTGCATTTCCATGATGTTTATTACGTTTGTATTTGTAAATTTTGACTGAAATAAACCTTTCAAATAAAAATAACAAGGGATGCTCAGACTGAGATTTGTAATTTGCCATTAGTTTGAGAAATAACTGCACTTAAAGCAGCGTTTTCAATTGTTACGAACACAGACGCTCAGAGCAGTTGACCATCTTGACTCACTACACTCTTTGGCAAATTTGGCAAAGTTTGGGCCATTCAAAATGGATAGAGAACATGTGTTTGGCGGAAAACAAAGTTCCTATCGGGTACCTGTTTTCTCTACATCATCACGCAGTGTGCTCGGAAAGCTGCAACTGTCAGCTTTACAAGAAAAAATGTCAGTTTCTATCTTGCACAGTTACATAAAACATATTCCCAGGTATCATAAACGATAACATTGGTCTGGAATGGTTTAATTTGAAAATGACCACTACATGACATCACAAGGTGGAATAAAGTGTCTTCTGTTTGTGAGAAGGACTCAGCCACAAATATGCAGTTTGTGTGTTAAACGTGTGAATGAAACAAAAAACGACTCCAGGTCTGTTTGTGATGAGGAAACAACATTATAACATAGATCATAAACGTAATATGGGGCCTTTAAACAAATAAACTACCCAAGTGTATTATTGATTGATTATTGAAAATGACTGATTATTTGTGTTTGTTTGTATGTTTGTGTTTGTACAGTGAAGCCATCAAAGCCTCGCTGTTGGATGGAGGGGAAGCTCCTGGAGGGGGGAGACGTGAAGATGAGCTGTAAGTCCTCAGACGGCTCAGACCCCATTCACTACAAATGGGAGCGGGTCCTGGACAAGGGCAAGTACGTGGGAAAGCTCCCTCCCATGGCTCTCATAGGTAAGACCGTCTCAGGATAGTGTTTTCTGTTTGATTATTTTATAATGAGGAGAACAGTATTTTTATATAGCCTTAAATCCTCTGGGGTAGATGTTTTTGTTTTCAAAGCATCATTTTAAATTCATTATCAAATGTGGGGGTTAACAAATGTGTGTACCGTATTTTTTGGACTATGAAGCACTTAAAATCCTTTAATTTGATCAAAAAAATCAATAGTGCACCTTATGTGGTAATTCTGGTTATGCTTACTGACCTCGAAACGATTTTATGTGGTACACGGAAAATCAGATCAAAAATCTGTCAAAATATTTTAGTACGACTTTGGTAAACTACGAAGTGGCGCCGCTTCATGGATTGTCGGAGCATTACAGCTACTGTAGTCAAGAGCCTCGCGGAGTATGTTGTGTCCTTTAGTCCGACAGAAGCTGAACCGCATCAACGCACAAGGAGCGAGCCGATTTTTTCCAGCACTTATAGTTTATGCAAATGAGCCATGTGGTTTTAAGTTTTGTTTCTGTAAAAAGGTAAACAAATGTGCGCAAAACTGCATTAAACACATTATTACTCAATGTATATCTGAGTCTTCCTCATAGAAAAAATAAAAAATAAATTATCCACCCACATTCACATTCATAAAACACATTCACCAAGACAAGGAGGGAACGCCAGGCGAATTACACCACGATCTGCCAATGCCGATTGAAACTGAACTAATAAAACCTTTGGAAAACCATCTAACTAGACCAAAATCTATTACTATCTATTTTAAAAGCAAAAAAGTGTCCTACAATTACAAATCTACAATTATATTAGCTTCTGTAAAATATCACAATAAATATCGTACCGTGAGATTTGGATATCATTACATTCCTTGTTATGTCTTATTATTATTACACGAAGGAGCTCATTGGTCAACTAACATTTGGAGCTAAATTTTCCTCATTTTCCTCACTGCAGATTTTAGTTACACAGTTTCTTTTAGTTTGGCTCACTGATTCTGATAAAATTCACAGTTTTTCATTCCCTCATAATATTTTTTCCATTCTTTTTTTCTCGTAAGCGGTCATATTTGTTTTGATACGGATGGTTCATACGTGTCCCTGATTGGTTAATCCACCTGTCAATCACACCCATCTGAACTCTGGGTGATTCAATAGTGACCAAACTCACTTGTTGGCGAAGTGTGTATTCTGTATCCATACGTCCTGAATTTCTGACTTCCGGTCATCACGCAATTTATACCGGGAAGGATCCTCAGAAAAAGTGAGCATCAAACCGCCATGTTTGTTTTCCCAGTGGGATGCGTCTATTGTTAAAGCTGATTTTTTTCAAGTCTTTTGAACCATATCTCTTTTTTTTCTGGTTCTCATATTTTAGTTGTGGGATTTGGACATTGTAATTGTGTGGTTGTTGGATGTTCTAACAGCGGAAAACAGCTCCAGAAATGGGCTTCGGAAATTTGCAAACTCCATAACTGCAAAAGGTAATCAGATGTGTGTGACTGCAAACCTTCGTTCAAACTGTTTCCCTTCTGAACGGAATTGAAAAATAGTGAAAAGGCGAAGGCGGTGGCCAGGATTGATACACAGGAAGGACCAAAAAGGAAACTGTTGGCTGCCTAAGAAATCATCCTGATCCCTCGCTCAACCTTGGTTACGAATTTAAAAAGTTAACCCCAAAGCAAAAGGCACCAGCTGTTCACCAAGAAACACCTTCCACTGCATAGAGACCAAGATGTGATGTTGCTGTAAAACCACAAGAACAAGAACGTGCAGCTCAGCCTGTTTGTCTTCTGTACGTCTCGCTTAACAAACGGGATTTTGCTTTGATGACGCTCCATGTACAAAATGTTCGCTGCAAACTTGGGATGATTTAGGCAGCCAAAGGTTTCCTTTTTCATCCTTCCCGTGGATCAATCCCGCCCATCGCCTTCGCCTTTCACTATTTTTTAATTCCGTCGAGAAGGGAAACAGTTTGAACAGAGGTTTGCAGTCACACACATTTATGGAGTTTGCAAACTTCCAAAGCCCATTTCTCGAGCCGTTTTCCGCTGTTAGGACTTCCAACAATCACACAATTACAATGTCCGAGTCCCAGAACTAAAATATGACAATATCAGAACCAGAAACAAAAGCGATATGGTTCAAAAGACTTGAAAACATCGGCTTTGACAATAGGTGAGTTTCATTGTTGACAAAAACGCGCGTTGCATGCTGGGAATTATTTTGGTCGGTGGCAATAAACACTAATTCAACATGATAGACGGAGCGAGAAAGCACGTAAAGGGTATTGATCCCGGTTATTTATCCACTCTAACGGCAGAGGATCGAAGATGATTTGACCAGAAATTGGTCATAAGCATCGACGGAGCCAAATCACCCTTTTCAACCCCGACAAAAGGTGGACCAAACCAAATTTCTGGTCAGAATCGCCAACTACCTGGACAAATATTCACTTTGGCGATATCCACAATGACTTGGTGGAAACTCCTGGGCCATTCACAGCAGAAAAGATGAAAACCTCCAAGAGTCTCGATGTGTTGTTGAACTTGTTGGAGTCCACAGTTTGTTAGGATCTTCTACGTTTGTTCTGCGAATGTTTGAAAGCCGTTTAATTCGCTGTTAGCGGTTCTTTTCACTCAGAATACGAAAAAGACATTTTCCTTCTTCCGTGCTTCTATTTGTGCATCCGATAATGCAGCAAGAATTTACCATTATCGGGGAGAAATACGCGAGGTGTTTGACCACTACCGTGTTTCTTGCCTCCGACCAAAATATTTCCCAGCATGCAATGCGGGCTTTTAATAACAATGACGTCAGCTGAAACTTGCCTATAGAGCGATGACCAGAAGTCCAAAAATTTGGGATGCATGACTGATTTACCTCGAATATATATAAATATGTTTAATGCAACGCTATGGAACATTCCCACTCAAAGCAGAAGCAAAATGTCTCCCTGCAGACAAGAAGAAAAGCAATCGAATTTGATGCAGGAGAAAAATGCTAAACTGTGAGAAGCTAAGAGAACACCTACTGTATATTTCACATTATTCTACTCTGATCTAATGAATCCTGCTCTAACGTCCTCACCGCGAGACCGATGCTCCTCTGCGCGTCGCCGCGGGGACCGGTCGTGTTCGGATCAGGTGGAGAAGGCGAGTTCAAGTACAGTCGAGAAAAATGAAAACTGCCACTTGTCACGTTCAGGCTTTTCAGGACTTTTATGGCTTTTTGTGCTGACTGCGCCGTCTCTTCCCACACAAGAAAGTCCCCTGTCTGTTCAGATTCATCACCCGCTTTCTCCATCTGCCCCACGCGCTTTAAATCCAACTTACAAAAGTGCTTTCATGGACAAAACCAAGACACTCTGTTGGTTAAAATGACTTGAATTGCTATTTTATCGACTGTGACAGGACTGGATTTAATGTCTGTTCATCCAATGTTTATTTTTTCCCAAGTAATGTAATGTTTAAAGGGCACATATTACGCTATTTTCTGATGTTGTTTCTCATCAAAATCATACCTGGAGTTGTGTTTTGTTTCATTCACACATGTTTAACACACATACAGGAATGTCTCCACTGCGTTTTTAAACTCCATACACCTTCATTAGAATCATTTGGATAATTTCAGCCTTGGAATTGCCCATTTTTACTAAACTGACACTACGTTTATATGATGACGGTCTGAAGAAAAGACGCAAAAATGGCATCGCGTCTTCACTTTTTATTCCGTGTTTAGATGAGCATTTTCGGGAGGAAAACTGTGTGCATACGGTGGCGCAAAAGTGTGTGGAATTGATTGGGTATGCATGCCAGGTTTCTGTGAGGTAAACGCATACAAGACGTGAGCAGATCTGACCAGAGTTTTGCGTCTTGGGCAGTGTAGACGGAAACACTACGGCGGAGTGTATTCAGCTTTTCCACTCTGGAGGGTGATTTCAGATTTTTGCATTTTTAAGCCCCAAAAACGCCATCACTGCCTAAACGAAAGACACTTCGTAAGTAAATATTTTGTCGTAAGCATTCTTGTGTAAACAGGCCCTAAAGTTAAAAGTAGCTGTTAACTTGAAAACTGCTTCTTCATCACAAGGTGGAGCAGAGTGTTTTGAGCTTTAGAGATGGAGACAGACTAATAATAAATGATTATTCAATCATGAGGTTCTATGTATTTGGGTTTCCAACATCAACGCTGAAATCCAGTTGGTTTAAACCTAAAATACCTCTCTGATCAGAATGGTCACTACCAAAGGTGGAAAAAGTACTGAAAAACTGTCATTACGTAAAAGTATCTTTACTTTGTTTACTTCCTCCTCAAGTAAAAGTATCCATCTAAAAATCTTTTTTTTTTTTTTTTTTTAATTTATTTAAGAAAATAGGGACAAAACACATTAATGAACATATACATGATATGTAAATATGTTATCAGATTATAGCCCAAGGCTAATTTCCATCTGCTGTCCCTAGGCAGGTTGATGTAATCATAAAACAAAATCACAGTAAAAACAATACACCCCGACAGACAATACAATAATACAAATAGACAGACACAAAGAGCTGGTCAGTCACAAGATCACAGACACAGGTCAAGTAAAGGATGTTGGATTGCACGCTGCCTTGTTTAGTTAAGATGCCAGTGTAGAGATATGAAGCTAAAATTACTATAAAGTGCTTTTCTACAATGTATTGCACGTGCCCTCGAAGGTAAAATTCTTTAGTATATTACATATTGCCCGTAATTTAAATATTAAAATACTTAATTAATAGCATATTGCACTTTGCCCATTGCACATTGTAAACTATCGTAAATGATCACACACCTGTGTCGACCTGAGCCATGTCTTTAAATGGCCTTTAAAAGTCGTAAAGCTGGGGGAGTCTCTAACTGTGGGTGGTAAACTGTTCCACAGAACACTGCCCTTATATGAAAACACATTTTGACTGAAAGAGGTTTTTCTATCAGGCACCTCACAGTCACCTCGTGTTGTGGCCCTGGAGGAGCGACATGAAACACTTGACCTATACCTGATATAATCACTTTCTTGAAAAGTATCTAATTTAAAATGTAATTTGAGTAAAAGTTACTTAGTTACTTTCAATTACTTGATGTAAAAAGGGATGAATCATAAATCTAATCAGCACAAGTTTTAATGAACCTTTAGGCACATTTTGCATTGTGTTATTCCCCATTTTGTGTTTGAACACAAATGGACTGTCCGAGGTTTGGCCAGGGGTTTCCTTTCCTCTTGAGAATTATTCAGTGCATCTTTGTCTTGAATATCAGCCCAGAATCATCCAAATTGATCCAAGACAGACTGACATTTCTGTACAATGACTGTACTTTCTATAGTGAAAATGCCTCACATGTAAGCACGTACAATTTTCTTTCATTTCTGGCATATCTTTATTTTATTTTTTTCATATTTCTTTTTTTTTTTTCTCTATCAGTCTGATTTTACTCAATAACGAGGGTGGGTTTCAGTGTAATGAAGTAAAATACTTGGGTCAAAATGCACTCGAGTGAAAGTAAAATTACCTATTTCAAATACTACTTAAAATTTTCAAATTACTCATAAAAAACTACTCAATTACAGTAACGTGAGTAAATGTAATTCAATACTTTCCACCCTTGGTCACTGCCTAAACCCCAGCCCCTGCAGACAGTGAGGAGTCAGTACTAGTGCAGCCTCTGCAGCTTGGTGTGGGAATTCTGGAGGTTCACATGAGAAATGGAGCGTCGATATTACTGAGAAGGAAGAAAAAACTTGTGTGTGTTCTCTGTCTGCAGGTTAAGGCTCTTGACAACCCAGGTTCAGTTGTGATTCTTGTAATAACAGTAGAAGTGCAGGCTACGGACAGTTTATTTGGGTTAAAATGACTTATGTTTGGAGTAATATTATGCTCATAACTGGTTTTCTATTTCAAGCAAAACTACTTTCTCTGAGTGTTCCCTGTACCTTTCATGATTAGGTTTTTCTTATTTAAACTAATTCTTAATTTAAGTCACTTCATTACGATTTGTTTTTCCTTCTAGATTTGAAAAACCCAGAGATCGTGACGCTGAGAAACCTGACGAAGGAGAGTGCCGGCGTTTACAAGTGCACGGCCAGTAACGACGTGGGAGAGGAGAGCTGCACCGTGGAGGTCAAGATGCACTGTGAGTCACCTTTGACCTCTGACCTGTACTTTTCCGCATTTAAACATAGCACGCATACCGGAGAAGACTGAATCCAATGTGCAAACTCAGGTACTGTGGAGGATTTTGTGTGTTTTTACGTACTTAAAGGATCCAGTCTTAAGAACTAGTTCATTTTAACGTTCCTGTACTTTTACAAAATGGATTCTGAGTTGTGTTTTGTTTCATTCACACATGTTTGCACTGGTTCAAAGTTATTCCTCACTTATCTTGTGTATTCTGAGCATCCTAATTATTCACTGTGATGAGAATAGACACACTTTTCACATCACAACTCTCTAAAAGTTGTGGAAAGTGCTTATAAACTCATCGCTGTGAATAATTTGCTTGTTCTGAATGCATGAGGAATAACTTTGGACCTCTGCAAACTGTTTGAAATGAACTAGTTCTAATTTTCACGTTTTTAAGGCTACGTTCAGACTGCAGCCTGAAGTGACCCAAATCAAATTTTTTTGCCCCTATGCAACCTGTATCTGATCTTTTAATGACAGTCTGAACGACACAGATCCGATTTTTTTCAAATGTGACCCAGTCCACTTGGATATGTGCTCTTAAAAACGATACATCTGATCTTTTGACACGTGACTTCAGTCTGAACGGTCAGGCTCAGAGTCTAGTCAATGGAGGGAAAGCAAAGTTAGTGAGTTTATTAATATTTGGGGGGATCGCTGTATTCAGGCCAAATTGGAGGGGTCTTATCGGAACCAGGCAGGTCTTTGAAATGATCGCCAAAGAAATGGTCGAGCGCGGCTACAGGCGTCCTGGCTCCAATGTCAACGAAAAATAAAGAGTCTGCGAGACAAATACAAGGAGGCTAAAGACTCAAACAACGTGTAACCTGTCCATTTTAACGAAGAACTGGACCGTATTTTGGAGACAAGGCCAGGGGTGTCAAACTCAAATTCACAGAGGCCAAAATTAAAAACTGGGACTAAGTCGTGGGCCAAACTAAATATTTTTTGAAAATTTTCAACAACATCTGCATGTTTTCTCTTCTTTCGAGATTTGTAATCTTGAATAAATATTTAATTAATAGTTTTGCTTAAACAATGAATCCAGACCAAGCAAAATATAAAATAATAACAACATTTTAAATAAATAATGTCTCTATAGCCTATCTGTGTGTGGCGGGTAAGCTCTAATACATATTTGATGTGATCTCGTGGGCCAAATATAATTATATCGCGGGCCAAATTTCCGGCGACTTCCGTAAACACTGAGTACGCTCACTGTGTGTGACGTCGTCGTGTCGTCCAGTGCACATGCGGGACACTTTTGGGGCATTTAAATTTCACACTGGAGATCACATACAAGTCGCATTTAATTGGAAATGTGAACGACCTCGCAAAAAAAATCAGATTTCACTTCATTTCAGTCTGAACGTAGCATAAGACAGGAAAAATCAAATACAGCGTCAGTAAAGGTGCATTGTGTAACTTTTCTGGTGGAGGGTCCGTCAAATGCTTTTCTTCATAAAGATGTTATTACTGTGTCTGGAATGTTTCACAGTTTGATATTACACCTTTTTATCTTCATGGAGTCCAAACCAGACCAAGTTACAGGTCAGATCTGTGGAGAGGCGACGCCGCTCACAGTCAGAATGCATTTTTTTTTTTGGTATTTTTAAGCAATAAAACCATCTGTAATTGAATAAATGTAATGTAGAGCTATTTAATGTCATACTGTGGAACATTCCAGGCAGAGAAATGACATATCCATAGAAATAAGCAGGTGACAAATCCTAACCAAAAAGTTACATAGTTCACCTTTTAAGAGAGAATAAATGGAAGCATTATTATTCACTCAAAAAAGAAGAAAAATTCAGATCTATTCAGTCTTAATTAGCCCTTGTCACCAATTAAACCTCTATCAATTCACGTCCATAGCCAATTGTTCGCGTTAATGTATGAACGACCTCTGTGCTGCGCTCGGGCCGATAACACGGGATTTCACCTGTGGACAGTCCTCACACGTGATCGGATAAGAGCCTGTTATTAATGACATTGTGGACAGAGGAGCTAACAAGACCCACACAACTCAATCTGATGTTCCCTTTATTGAACGCCGTCCAATCAATCAGGGCTTCCTACAGGCACGAACGACTTAGACCCAGGCAGTACAGACGAGGAGGAGGTTTGGAAGTTATCTGAAGCTAGGTTATGGACAAAGGTGAGAGAGTGCATTGTTTTTTGAGTTAGGAGTTTTAGTATATTTGTGTTACTAATGCTGATAGTCACACAAAACCAAACCAGTCACAAGCACCACAAAACTCATATTCCTTCAGTGGCAACTTGGCTTAAATGTCCACGTCAACTAGCCGGTAAATACACCGCACTCACTGGTGTAGTGGGGATTTTTTTAAGAGGGGGTATGTGATTTGTGACGTCATCATCCCCCCTCCCCAATTCACTTTCAGTACAAACATAAAAGTGCCAGTCCAGAAAAAAAATCAGTAATATTAGATGTTTTTTTTTTTAACTCAAAATGATGCAGAATCATGTTATTAACATTAACGCCATTTATAATCATCTACAGAATATAAATCAGAGGCTACAACACATGAACCAGGACTAAACCAGGACTAATCTTGGACTTGAAAGCGAGAGAGAGAACCCAGAACCCATGGAGCAGAGTGTCCATAAAGCGCAATTGGGTGGCGGCCACATGCTTGGGCTTGTGGGGCGCGGAGCTCTGCGTTGGTCATTTTGCCCGCGGTCTCCCAACAGTCTATTCAGGCGCACATCCAGGCCCGTCCAGACACTCAGTCCTGGTTTTCTTCTGGTTCAGTTCTAGTTTAGTCCTTGTTCAGTCCTGGTTTAGTCTTGGTTCAGTCCTGGTTTATTTTTTGTTCAGTCCTGGTTTAGATCTGGTTTAGTCCTGTTTCAGTCCTTGTTTAGTCCTGGTTCAGTCCTGGTCCCTCATGTCCCAGGTATAGGACAGTAGTGCAGATATCATGAGCCTATGCAGGTTGTTTTCACCATGGCAAATCTCCCCGGTTTGACATTTAAGTTATATCTATTTTAGATTTGTTATTTTTTACATCGAGAGGAGTGGGTGGACGATGTACCCCCTTGTATCACGCCCACTACACCCCTGACCGCACTGATTTAACAGAAGTGTCACTACACAAACAGCAGTTCCATTTTAAAGCAGACCTTTTTAAACTTTTAACCAGGTTATAGTTGTTTCCACTTCTCGTTTCATTTGGAATAAATGGAAAAAATTGCATAATAGTAACTTGAAAAGCAGGATTGGTACATGTCAAATAACCTGAATACTGGCAAACCGATTTCCACTGCATACTGTTTTATTTTAGTTTTTGTTTATGGTATTTATTGTCGTGTCTTCAGGCAAGACACTCCAGCTTGTTTGTGTTGTACCAGTGATTAGTGAGTCTGCCCCAGGACAACTCACAGAACTGAAGATCACTGGATGACAGTAAAAGAGGTTTTGAAACGTTTCTAATTATTTTCATATTGTGGTGTTTTTCGCAGATGTGAGGGGAATGGGCGTGGTCGCTGGTGCCGTGGTGGGCGTGTCCTTCGGCGTGCTCCTCATCATCCTCATCATCTGGCTGGTGTTCCGCAAGAAGGAGATGAAGAAGTACGAGGAGGAGGAGACGCCCAATGAGATCAGGTAAACTGTCAACTCACTTTCTTTCAGACACAGCGCAGAAACATCTCTTTTATCTATGGGACACTATGCAGATGATGTTGCCAACAATAGCTGCAGGTTTTTCCACGCGCTTAACAAGAGAAAAACCTGCCCTTTTGTCAGCTTTGTCATGTCTGATGTAGTTGACCGGTCTTCAAGTTTCTTCATAACCTGTTCTTTTGCATTTCTGTACAGTTCAGATCTTAGTCTACAAAGATATACAGCTCTAATGAACATAGAATACTTTTGACAAAAAAAAAAACAACAAGTCAAAACCTGTTTTTATTTTGTCTCTACTCTCAAGAATCACTGCTATATAGAAAAACTCACTCCATTGGTTAAAAAAAAAAAAAGTAATTAAAGCTACCATTTGTTAGATCAACTTACAAGTGGTAGCTTTAAAGGGCCCATATTAGGCTATTTTCTGATCTATGTTATAAAGTTTCCTCATCAAAAACATACCTGGAGTTCTGTTTTATTTCATTTGCACATTTAACACGCAAACCCTGCATATTTAGGCTGAGTTTTTTAACAGAAAACACGCTGTTCCAAGTTGTGATGTCATGTGGTAATACAGGAAGTGGTCCACTGTGTTTTTAAGCTCCATACACCTTCACTAGAATCATTTCGATGATTTTAGGTCTTGAATTGCCGATCTCTACTGAACTTAACTTGAAAACTACCGCTTTGATATCATTAGTTTTGGAGATGTAGACAGACATAGGCTGTGTTCAGACTGTAGGGCTTAATGCTCAATTCTGAATTTTTTTGTGAAATCTGTTTTTTTTGCGAGGTCGTTCACATTTCCAATTAAATGCGACTTGTGTGTGATCTCCAGTGTGAACTTTAAACGGCCCAAAAGTGTCCCACATGCACCTTGGAGGACGTCACACGAAGCGAGCGTGCTCATGGGTTACGGAAGTCGCCTAAATGCCGGACTTGTCTCCCAAAATACAGTCCAGTTCTTCGTACAATGGACAGGTTACACGTCCATGGCCACTTTGTTTGAGTCTTTAGCCTCCTTGTATTTGGCTCACAGGCCCTTTATTTTTCGTTGACATTGGAGCCAGGACGCCTGTAGCCCCGCTCGACCATTTCTTTGGCGATCATTTCAAAAAAGGCCCAGTTCCGACAAGACCCTCCAATTTGGCCTGAATACAGCGATCCCCACAAATATTAATAAACTCGCTAACCTCGCTTTCCCTCCATTGACTAGACTCCGAGCCTGACGTGTAGGTGGGATGAATGCACTTTGGCCGTTCAGACTGAAGTCGCATGTCAAAAGATCGGATATGTATCAGTTTTAGGAGCACATGTCCAAGTGGCCTGGGTCATATTTGAAAAAAAATCTGATCTGTGTCGTTCAGACTCATTAAAAGATCAGATACAGGTCGCACAGGGGCAAAAAAATCTGATTTGGGTCACTTCAGCCTGCAGTCTAAAGTGTTACTCAAACTCCAGGTATATATTTTGAAGAGGTAACAACATTATAACATGACTTAAAGCTCACAAGAGTCAGTTTTGTGTAATATAAGACCTTTATCTTTAACTGTAGTCAAACTAAAATCTTCCTTTTGACTCGAGTTGCTTTAGACTCTCCTCTGGGCACAGGCTGGGCACAGGTCTCCTCCACAGACCTTCACCCCTCACTGGCACAGAGCTGCAGTGGTTCAGACCTCGATCTAACACAAAAGTCTGAAGTTAGAAGAGCAGGGGAAGAATATCAAAACGTTGTCAGACAAAGAAAACTAAAACACCACATAAAAGCACATAATAACCTCAGTATAGTCTCGTAATGAGGGCTGGGCCATTTATTACCAGTCAAATGTATGTTTTTCTCTTTATTTCCATGATTATTTACACTGTAGATTCTCACTGAAGGCATCAAAACTAAGTGTGATATATTGCTGTACACATATAGAGCATAAACGATAATATTAAAACCAAACCATAAAGTAGAATTATCCGCAAAATGTTTTCTTAATGTACAATATTGTGAAAAACATGAGCTGCAAGAAATAAAAGACAGAATACAGCAGTTATGTAATTCATTTGTGTCTATAATGAGTCATAGAATTTCATAATGCGACACTCCACAGCTCGAATTATATCATAATACAGAAAAATAACCACAAATGTCAAATTACTGCAGGGCAAAGAAAAAGTCAACACAACAGGCTTAGACTTAGACGAAATTTATTGATCAACAAGGGAAATTACTTGGACAGAGCAGCTCACAATATAATATAATAACAAAGAGAACAAATATAAATGGTAATACTAAATTGTAAAAAAGTAGGAAAAACAGCAAGAGACGTGTCAAAAAAAGGCATACAGTATGTTCGGACTATAAGTCGCTCCGGAGTATAAATCGCACCAGCCAAAAAATGCGTAATGAAGAAGAAAAAAACATACATAAGTCACACTTTTTGAGGGAAATTTTTTTTTGGATTATCAGAGACCAGGAACCGACATTTCTTCTTGAAAGTCAAGTTCTAGTAATAACAATAGAACAGAGAACAACAGACTGTTAACGTCACATATGAACAGTTCTTCAGATAAACTATAACATAAACAACAGAAGAGAACAAGTTCACCAAACTCTCCATCTCACTCCAAATCACTAAATCCACTGAATTCCTCATCCTCGATGTCACTTCTGAGACACTCCACGACCTCCGGTGGTAAACGGAGCGCCGCTTCCTCTTCTGTGTAGTCGCTCCAGAGCAGTGTTGGGAAGGTTACTTTTAAAATGTATTCCTCTACAGATTACATATCCCAAAATGTAGTTTGTAATGTAATCCATTAAATTACTTAAAGTGAGTCACGTAATCTGAATACTTTGGATTACTTGATTTGCTGTAGAGTCGCAAAGACGCGGATATCGTAACATAAGATGTTTTGTCTGAAAGACAATAAAAAAGCCCAGACTTTATTAAAAATATTATTGATAGAAGAGGACGAGACACGGTCCACGCAGCATGGTTTAGTTAAATCCCGTTTTATTCCTAGTTTAGACCTGATTTGGACCTGGTTGAGACCTGGTTTAGTGTCCGGCAATGAGTGGAATTACTGGAAAAAAAAAAAAAAAAGCCCACAGAATATAGCCCAAAATGTGAAAACAGGAAAATACCGCTCATTAAAACAGTAACTGTAACTGAATACAGTTACTCATAATTTGTACTCTGATTACATAACTCCAGTACATGTAATCTGTTACTCCCCAACACTGCTCCAGAGTTTAAGCCGCACCAGCCAAAAATAAGCCAAAAAAAAGAAGAAAAAACATATAAGCTGCAGCGGACTATAAGTCGCACTTTTGGGGGAAATTTATGTTATAAAAGACCAGAGACCAGGAACTGACATTTCAGCTTGAAATGACAAGATAATAACAATAGAATAGCTGTCGTCAGACTCAGCATCAGTTCCAGTTAGAATTATTCTGGCCTTTCTGAATCCCGACAGGATAGTTTCAGTGTCACTGAAGTCCAGGCTCTGTCCATCCATCCAGTGACTCTCAGGAATGTTGCATGGCGCTCCCTCCTGATTGTCACAAGTTTCTCACTCACTCCAAAACTTTCTTTCTGCTGCTCGATTACCATTTTCAACTGCATATTTAGTTACTTGGAGCTTGTAGTCTGCAAAATAAGATTTTCTTTTTGAGTGCATTTGTGTTCAGTCTTCTCAGCTGTCTTTATAAGTTTCTTCAAATTTTCAGTGATACAGAAGTAATGGTGCTATCGACTGACATGATACAGACAGGACAGAGGCTCTTTCTGCAGGAGACATGTGCAGTAGAGTGAAGTGACAGTGGTACAGGAGGACCAGGAGCAGCATATACTGACACACAAGACTAGAACGCCCTCTTGCAGCTTCAGTGTGAACATTTTAATATATAAGTCGCACCAGAGTATAAGGACCACCAAAACCATGACAAAAGTGCAATTTATAGTCCAAAAAACAGTAGTTATATAAATGCATATGTAATAGGTAATATTGACTCCCAAAAATTATTGTTCCATCTGCCATGTATTCAACGATAAGTCGATATAGTAATTATCTCGACAGGCTACACTACACTTTTTTTTTTTTTAATGGCTACGCAAAGGGAGGCTACTGAGAGGAATTTAGATTTTCTTTGCTACATAAGTCCATACATCTTACTTCATATATTTGATGTCTTCTGTATCTTCTGTATATAGGCGAGTTTCAGCTGACGTCATTGTTATTAAAAGCCCGCGTTGCATGCTGGGAAATATTTTGGTCGGAGGCAAGAAACACGGTAGCGGTCAAACACAGTGCGTAACCTCGTGTATTTATCCCCGATAATGGTAAATTCCTGCTGCATTATCGGATGCACAAATAGAAGCACGGAAGAAGGAAAATGTCTTTTTTGTATTCCAAGTGAAAAGAACAGCTAACGGTGAATTAAATGACTTTCAAACATCCGCAGAGCAAACATAGAAGATCCTAGAAAACCGTGGACTCGTTCAACAACACATCGAGACTCTTGGAGGTTTTCATCTTTTCTGCTGTGAATGGCCCAGAAGTTTCCACCAAGTCATTGTGGATATCGCCGAAGTGAATATTGGTAGTTGGTGATTCTGACCAGAAATTTGGTTTGGTCCACCTTTTGTCGGGGTTGAAAAGGGTGATTTGTCGTCCGTCGATGCTTATGACCAATTTCTGGTCAAATGGTCTTTTGGTCCTCTGCCGTTAGAGTGGATAAATAACCGGGATCAATACCCTTTACGTGCTTTCTCGCTCCGTCCGTCACGTTGAATTACTGTTTATTGCCGCCAACCAAAATAATTCCCAGCATGCAACGCGCGCTTTTGTCAACAATGAAGCTCGCCTATACAAAATATAGAAGTAAACACAAATAAAAACAGTGCATGAGAGGTTACATCCAAACTTTTGACTGGTACTTTATATAAGTTGATAGTACGCTATTAGGAACATTGTGAGATCCTCTTTTCTGATTTCGTTTTCTGTTGCGAGGGGGAGAGACAGAGATTGTGGCTAATTGCTATCGCCAAAGTCTAGTGCGACTCAAACCCGACTGTGGAGGCTCTGCAGAGGCAAAAACACTAATAAGGAAAGAGATAAGACATGAGAAGTGGAGGAAGAACTTAGCTACGGCGTAAACAACTCATCAGCGATACTGCTTCACAAACTTTGTCTCTTATATTGTGAAAAAGAATTCTGAGCCACAGCAGCCCTGCGATTTATTATAATAGGTCAAGTTTATAGAGAATCTTAAATGTGAAACTCGGGTCATCCATTAGTGATATTAGTATTAGACCATCACGAGTTATTTTCTCCCAAAATGCAAATTAGACAAGTTACTTACACACAATAACAGCCATAATAAGCATTTAAGGTTGAAAATCACATTCTATTGTCTAAATAAAGAGTGTTTTTTATTATCATCATGGTATCATAATTGGTATTCAGTGTTGGGAAGGTGACTTTTAAAATGTATTCCCCTACAGATTACAGACCCCAAAATGTAGTTTGTAACATAATCCATTAAATTACTTAAAGCGAGTAACGTAATCTGAATACTTTGGATTACTTGGTTTAGACCTGGTTTTAGTCCTGGTTTGGACCTGGTTTAGACCTAGTTTTAGACCTAGTTTCAGACCTGGTTTAGCCCTGGTTTAGTCTTGGTTTAGTCTTGGTTTAGCCCTGGTTTAGTCCTGGTTTAGACCTGGTTTTAGACCTGGTTTAATGTCTGGCAATGAGTGGAATTACCGTGAAAAAAAAAAAGAGATATAGCCCAAAATGTGAAAACAGGAAAATACCACCATGTAATCCATTTATTTCAGCAAAGTAAATGTAATCCAATTACCTCTCATTAAAACAGTAACTGTAACTGAATACAGTTACTCATAATTTGTATTCTGATTACATAACTCCCGTAATCTGTTACTCGCCAACACTGTTGCTATTGAGTATTGAGTGTATTCCTTAGTATTGAAAGTGAGTTTGATTTTCGTATTGTGACAGACATGAATAAGCATAAACCTTTTTCACAATGGCTGGAAGTGCCTCACTCTAGGTTTGTTGAAATTCTGGTTAATGGTTTTCCTTGGCAAAATGTCTGTGGAAATGTCTCTCGTATTCTCCACCAGCTTCATAAATCTGTCCCATCACCAAATAACAAGGTCCACAAAGGTCCACAACTATCAAGGTAAGAAAGATGAAAGCTTAAAGGAGAACAAAGATTAGTGTTAGTGAACTACTGAGCAAAATTAACATTATGGTATCCTAGAGATGTCTCCATATCTCTACAAATCATTTTGTCTATGCTAAAATCAACATCATGAAACTGATTTTTTATTTCAATTGTAGAATCAGTCTGAGTGAACAAGTTGCTTATGTTTTATTCCTGACCATAGCGTTAGTTTTGCTCAGGAGTAGTTCACTAATGTGTCGTCGTTGTTCGCCTTTAAGTTTTCATCTTTTTTACCTTGATAGTTGTGGATAAATTCTTCATGGACAGAATGTTTATCCTTTGTGGACCTTGTTCATTGAAAATTTGGTGATGGGGCAGATTTATGAAGCTGGTGTAGAATATGTGAGACATTTCCATAGATATTTTGCCATATAAAAGAATTAACTGGAAGTTCTGCAAACTTACAGCGCAGGACTTGTGGCCTTTGTGGTTTATTCGCACTTCAGCTGTGAGGGCTAATAGAAGACACTTTAAGATCATTATATTTAAGATTTAGCCAAAAACTGTGCTTTTTTTCCCCTGTTTGGTCATTATTTAGGTTTTAAATTTTACTTTCTGGTTGGAAGCCAGCCACGCTGGCGCTACTTAGTGCCTCCGTTCAATTTAATTTCTCTCCAGCAACTAGGTCAGGAATCAGAATACACTAGATCACAGGTGTCAAACATGCGGCCCGGGGGCCAGATCCGGCCCTCCAAGACCTTTATTGTGGCCCTCAGTTGATTTTCTACTAAAATATTTTAATTATATTTTCTATTTGGTAATAGAATTTGGTAATTTTTTGCGGTGTTTATCACAGCAGGGTCTCCAGCGTCTCTGTACGTGGCCCCTCCCACCTGAGCAGCACAAATGAAGATTTGTCTCTTTCCAAACGCTCTTAAAGGACGATCGTTTTGACTGTTGACCGTGACACCCTCATCAACAAAATGTCAAAAATGAGAAAAGTGGAGCCGAGTGCAGGATTTTCCAAGAAAAATGGACTTATTCCTACTTGCATACAAGTTCATGTTAAAACATTGTGTTGAAATTGTGTTTTTCTTAAAATTTCAGGTTGTTCATAATATTATAATATTTTGTAAAAGAAAGAGTTTATCAATTAAAAAAGATTTCTGTAATAGATTTGTGTTTCTCTGCACAAATAGTTGAACTTATTATTATTTTTGGGGTTTATATGACATGAGTTTTCTGATCCGGCCCTTTTGGGATCAAAGTCGGTTGGATACAGCCCCCGGACCAAAATGAGTTTGACACCCCTGCGAGACGGTTCGCAAAAACCCTGGAAGTGCAAGTTCAGCCACCAGCCAATCAGCAAAGAGCCATACATTCAGTTTGTCAACGATTCCCAAGATCGAGGATTTAAAGCCGGAACAAAGAGAATTTTATCAAGGGGAAAGACGTTATTGCCTTTCTTCCTAAGGGATTTGGGAAAAGTTTTATTTACCAGTTAGCCCTGTTAGCGGTGCATTACATCCGTCACAACCAAATAGGCAGGCACTTTTTATCATTTAACCAATCGCTGCTACCATTGAGCGAATGAATTCTAATGCTGTGAGGTCAGACATTTCTACGAAGTGAAACTGGCTGATGAATCAGGCTAGGAAATCATGCCATCACCCTAGTGAAAATTCGATAACTGTTACCTAGCAACCAAAACTCCTCTAATGTACACAGAGATTATTATTTAACAAAAGAAATTATAAGAAAATGCCTTTATTTTGTTGAAATATGGAACTCTAAAACAGAATACTTCCTGTAATTTTCATCATATTTTTCAAGTTTTTTTCATAAATGCCTCGTTGATTTGTGTAAAATTATCACTTATATTTACAACAGGTTTTATTTCACCAGCATAAATAGAAATTAGACAATGATAAAGCCTGTCATACTCACTTTAAACCTGTTGTGTTTGTTCCAGGGAGGACGCCGAGGCTCCCAAGGCCAAACTGGTGAAGCCCAACTCTCTGTCGTCATCCCGCTCTGGCAGCTCCCGCTCGGGCACCTCCTCCACCCAGTCCATGGTCCACAACATGCCCCCGCGCCCCCAGCGAGCGTGCGTGCCCGCCGTCGCCGCCCTCAAAGAGAACTGCCACCAGGCCCCGGGCAGCTTCTCCCAGAGTCCCCCCGGCTACTCCCAACAGCAGCCGGCCGGGTACCCCCAAACCCTGCCCAAGACGCCCGAACCTCGCGCCACCCCCACCTCCTCCTCCACCACCACCACCTCCAAGCCCAGCCCGCCGCCCAAACTCAGCCCCGCCAACCTGTCTCGTATGGGGGCCACTCCGGTCATGATCCCAGCCCAGAGCAAGGCCTTCCAGACTGTCTAGACCAGAATCCCCCCCTTTCGTCCTTTCCCCTTTTACCCCCTTTGCTCAAGTCTCAGGACATGGCAACCAGCTCTACTCATTATAAACTTCGGGACAATCTTCTTCACTATTAATCGATTATTATTTTTTAAACTCCACAAATTGACGAACTATTGTCAAGACGGCCGATCGAAGGATGTATTGCTATGAAAGCGGAATACTTATACTGCGATATGTGGACTACGGAGTACGGGAAACTCTTCAAACTCCAGTTGCAGCCTCAAGATAATTTCAGACGACGCGACATTGACTTTGCATTGGGATGAGAGGTGTTGATTGTACAGACTCCACATTGTATTAACACTTTACTGAGTTGTATCATCTCTGCTGTCTCCACGTCGGTCATGTTTCATGTGTACAGTTTGCCAAAGTCACTATAGTCACAGCCATTCCACTCGACGCTCACTTTAATGTAGATTTTCTGTTTTGGGGTCAGCAGGATGAAGCTGTTTTTAGAAGGTTTAGAAGTATAAAAGAAGCGAAGTCATGGACCTCCCACAAAAATTTTGACAAAACTCTGTGTTACGTTTAATTGTCGATTTAAAGAAGACTTAATAGGGTTGTGTCTGCTTACAGTTAACAATCTAAGACTATGTTCAGACTGCAGGGCCTCATGCTCAATTCAGATTTTTTGGTGAAATCCGTTTTTTTTGCGAGGTCGTTCACATTTCCATTCAAATGCGACTTGTATGTGATCTCCAGTGTGAACTTTAAACGCTCCAAAAGTGTCTCGCATGTGCATTGAAGGACATCACAACGTCACACTCAGCGAGCGTGCTCAGCGTTTACAGAAGTCGCCTAAACGCTGGGCTTGTCTCCCAAAATACGGTTCAGTTCTTTGTAAAATGGACAGGTTACACGTCCACGGCCACTTCGTTTGTTTGAGTCTTTAGCCTCCTTGCATTTGGTTCGTAGGCTCTTTATTTTTGGTTGACATTGGAGCCAGCATCGTCTTTAGTCGCGCTCGGACATTTCTTTGGCGATCATTTTTAAAATCGCCCAGTTCTGAAAAGACCCCCCCCAATTTGGCCTGAATACAGCGATACCCCCAAATATTATTAAACTCGCTAAGCTCGCTTTCCCTCCATTGACTAGACTTCGAGCCTGACGTGTAGGTGGGATGAATGTGACCTGGTTGTTCAGACTGAAGTCGCATGTCAAAAGATCGGATATGTATCGGTTTTAGGAGCACATATCCAAGTGGCCTGGGTTGCATTTGAAAAAAATCAGATCTGTGTCGTTCAAAGTGTCATTAAAACACGAACGTTGATGCCACTGCCCCACAAAACGTCATGGCCAAAAACCTTCTCCTTCTCAATCTGCTCTTTAAAACAAATAAGCTGTACATGTTCTGGCTCTGGTACGACAGCAACTTTAAAATCGCCAGGTGCTCAGTGCTCACGTCCATTTATACTTCACACTGGAGATCACATACAAGTCGCATTTAATTGGAATTGTGAACGACCTCGCAAAAAAAATCGGATTTCACCAAAAATTCCAAATTGAGCGTTAAGCCCTGCAGTCTGAACATAGCCTACGACACCTGCAGATTGTTATAATTATATTTTGGGATATTTTAAATTGCAATACTGATCTAAAACAAGTCCACGAGCTTCTTTGTTGGAAAATTGCGATGCCCGATGGGAGCTGAGGTCACTGTAAATGTCATCACAACATCACAAAGAGCCGTACAGATATTCTTGGGTGATAATGACAGAATTTGTATTTTTTTTGGACCAAAATGACGCTGCCATATTCTACAAAATCCTAAAAAATAAAATTGAGGAAGTAAGTACAGAGCTGTGGGCCGTATACTGGTTTTCAAAAGTCCAAAATGATTGCTCACTTGCTTAACGCATTTCAAGCATTCCTAATTATTCACAGCAATGAGTTTAGTGGCGCTTTTCACAACTTTCACAGTAAAACTAGCATGCCAACAGTGCATTTCCAGATGATCAGATAATAAAACACATTATAATTAGACTCAGACAGTACACAGCAGACTTATTTTCACCTCAAGAGTGGTGTATATTTGAAATTTGTGCTCGAAATCACACATTATACAATTAGAAAACCCGTTCATTCAGTTGCAGAGAAAAGGCCATGACTGAGCTTCTCTTATTCCATTTTGTTTTACAGTATCTGACCAGATTCAGGATCCTGGGTTTTTTCTGAGGATTGTTGGACTATAACAAAAGTCTGCTTTAGAAAGTGCCACTTTGTGAAGGTATAAGCTTCATTGTCCCTTCATTAGAGAACAGACTGTATGAATGTGTAGAGAAATATACTGTACAGTGAACACTATCAGACAAAACTCTGGACACACCTTATTATTCTGTTTTATACATTTTTGTATTTATTTTAACTACTTTCTACATTTTATATACATACAGAAGACATCAGATATATGAAGGATGATATGAGAAATTTTAAATAACTACTAAATATTTGTCAACAAAGCAAAGGGAGGCTACTTTGACGATTTGAATATAAAATCTAAACACCAAATTCTATATCTATTTTTGGTTACGTTTACACTGAAACGAATCACGATATCACTGGATCAGAAACGATTTGCTTCCAGACATGTCGTTCTCAATCAAAGCCTTCCCCATCTACACAGTAAAGTGAAACCGCCTGAAACACGTGGGCGGTAAAAACAAGGAAGTGGAGCAGCGTGTCTGAAGTTGCAGCGGACGATTTCGAGCCGAGGAAGACGGCGAGTGTCTTTTCGTGAACCGACGACGAGGTTCTGTTGTTACCGAATGTAACACTGGATTTTAAGACGAGCATGGCTACGCCGTTTCCCGTTTGTCCCTGGTTTGTTTAAACTGTTTTCCACAGTAGAGTCACTTGACCGATGTCACGAACCCAGCGAATCAGGAAGGCGCAAATCACAGTGACGTGGTCGAATACGAACGGGAACTAGAACTCCTCCGTCAGCATATCAACGTTTTCAGGCGTCCACACCGTGGTGGATCAGATTGTTCCGTCTCTGGAGCCGTTTTCCATTGGATTATTGTGGACGAATACTGCATCCACAACGAAAACAACTCGAATACGCCCAAGTGTGGATGGGGTCTTACTTCATGTTTGTAGAAAGTAGTCAAAATAAAATGCATACAAATAAATAAACATATGAGAGGGTGTGTCCAAACTTTTGACTGGTAGTGTACTTATATATACAGTATATATACATATATATAAAAAAATAACATTTACAGGATTTTATTTTCTAGACAAATGAAATTTTAAGGATAAATTGTTCGTATGTAGCACACTTTATGTATTGTCAGCCTCGTAGCGAAACTGTCACCCTGCTGCATCTCCGTGTGTTATTGGTCATACCTGCAGCAACCTTGGTTTTGGCAGTAACACGAATAAAATAATCAGAAATAATCAGAAATAAGATAAAACGCTCCTCCCAAAATGCTGAAATGTGAGGTTGAGTTGTGTTGCGAGGCTCACGGCGGCTCACGGCGGCTCACGGCGGCTCACGGCTCACGGCGGCTCACGGCGGCTCACGGCGGCTCACGGCGGCTCACGGCGGCTCACGGCGGACTCACAGACTCTACAGAGCGAGTGCCTTCGGTGGTTCACGTCCAACAATAGTCAGTGTTGGGGAGTAACAGATTACATGTACCAGAGTTATGTAATCAGAGTACCAATTATAAGTAACTGTATTCAGTTACAGTTACTGTTTCAATGAGGGGTAATTGGATTACATTTACTTGGTTGAAATCAGTGGATTACATGGTGGTTGTTTTCACATTTTGGGCTCTATCCCTTTTTTTTTTTTTTTTTTTTCAGTAATTCCACTAAACCATTGTCTGGGCTAAAACACTAAACCAGGATTAAAACCAGGTAAAACCTCTAAACCAGGACTAAACCAGGTCTAAACCAGGTCTAAACCAGGTCTAAAACCAGGTCTAAAAACTAAACCAGGTCTAAACCAGGTCTAAAACCAGGTCTAAACCAGGAGTCTAAAAAACCAGGTCTAAACCAGGAGGTCTAAAACCAGGTCTCTAAACCAGGTCTAAAACCAGGTCTAAACCAGGTCTAAAACCAGGTCTAAACCAGGATTAAAAAACCAGGTCTAAACCATGATTAAAACCAGGTCTAAACCAGGTCTAAACCAGGTCTAAAACCAGGACTAAACCAGGACTAAACCAGGACTAAACCAGGTCTAAAACCAGGTCTAAACCAGGATTTAAAAGGACTACATCATGCTGCGCAAACCGTGTCTCCTCCTCTTCTATCAATAATATTTTTAATACAGTTAAGTAAAGTCTGGGCTTTTTATTGTTTTTTTTAATAAGACAAAACATCTTACGTGAAGATTTCCTCGTCTTTGCTTCTCTACAGTAAATCAACTAATCCAAAGTATTCAGATTACATTACTCACTTTAAGTAATTTAATGGATTATGTTACAAACTACATTTTGGGGTATGTAATCTGTAATCTGTAGGGGATTACATTTTAAAAGTAACTTTCCCAACACTGACAGTAGTTCAGTGTTTTTGTGTTTCCCTGTGAAGAACATGACACTGATCGGGAATAACCGACCTGAAACATTCCAGACGCAGTAACACACGGACACACACTCTACTCCCCTTCCTCCATTTTCTTTCTTCTCCTCTTCCACTTCTTTATCCTCCTCTTCCTCCTGCTCCTCCTTCTCTTCTCTTGCTCCTCCCTTTCTTCCTTCCTTCTCCTCCTCTACAACCTTCTCCTCTTCTCTTCTTTCCTTCCTTTTCCTCCTCTTCTTCCTCTTTCTTCTCCTCCTCCTCCTTTTCATCCTTTTTCATTCACCTCTTCCTGTTCTTCCTCCTCCTCTTCCTCCCCCTCCTCTCCTCTTCTTGTACTTTCTCTTCCTTCAATTTTCTTCCTCCTTCTCTCCTCTTCATCCTCCTCGTTTTCTTCCTCCTTCATCTCTTCCTGTTCTTCCTCCTCCTCTTCC